GTCTTGAAGCTGAGACTCTAATGCAGGTGAGAGGAAAGCTGGGGTGGGGGGAGATTTCAGTGAGGTGTCCTGGACGGTAGCAGCAGCTTGTATGGTGGCGAGGTGAAAAATCAACCGGCCTTAAACTCACTTGAGAAGCGGCTCAACTAAACCAGAAGTGTATATTAGAGAAAGACACTCCCCTACCCCACGATCAGAACCCCAGCAATAGGCCCTAGCGGGAGTACGTGGGAGAACCCAGGACTTGGGCACTCCAGTAACTCGGGTCCTTAATAACATGCAGGCTTCCACCCCTGGGGCAAATTTTGCACTGTCCGTTACTTGCTTTGTTGATGCACCTGTCAGAGGCTACGTGACCCCCTCCAGTGTAACGGCGTGGAGGTCGTTGGATGAACACAGGGCTCCAGCTTGAAAGTGGGACAGAGCTCAAGGTAGAAATATATATTTAAAAGCTTTTTTTGGGGGGGAGAGAGGGGGGGAAGGAAGCCTGGATCAGGACAACAAGGCCTGGTGAGGGGCACACGGTAGAAGACTGTGACTTTATAACCATCTACTGACTCTCTGAAGTATCTTTGCCAAATGGTTTTCAGTACAGCAGATACAACTTAGCGTTCGCCAAGGAGAGTGAATGCGAACTACACTAGGAGTCTAGAGTCTCTCTCCACCTTATCTACTTGTTATGACTCAAGGAAGGAGATAAAATCAGGGAGTGTAGGAAAAGGGGCAGCCCCAGGTGGATGGGCTCCAGGCAAATTACCTAATTTCAGCATGATTCAAAAATGGCCCTTTTGTCCTCAACAGCCCTGCTCCTGCTGTAGCGCAGAGGTGAGCTGCAGGTGTTAGTGCTGTGAATACTGCAGTGCCCCAGGAGAGCGAGCTGGAGTCTGCGCCTCCCTGTGCATCCCAGGCAGAATATTCTGCTACCTTTCAATGATGGGGCCAATCCCTCATGCATGTGTGAAAGGTTGCACAGATGTCACCGCGGGCCTAAGTGATAGATAAGGACAATATCCAGGCCTGAGGGCAGGATGTGGTGTGCAGAACCTCTGACTGGTGGCAACGCATACGGAGGAAACCCAGCTTGACTCTCAGTTCCCAGGCTGAGTTTGCAGGTTGTCCTGTTTTATTACAGAGGGAGGGAAAGGAGCTTTTTACATGTAAATGGTGAATTCTTGATCTGGACAAACATGGGAACCCCATGATGGAAGTCACTTTTCAGAGCTTACAGAGCTCCCTGAGGGTTGCAAACAAGGCGTCTGGAGGGTCATGACCACCCCGCCATTCAACTGTTGCTAAATGTTAGGGGGGAAAACCCAGCCGCATGGGAATGGGGGCCTCCCTGGAAAATGCTGAGAATCACTGGCAGAGAGCAATTCTCGCAGGGAGCATTTTGCACGAGTATGATCATCCTGCTATGCTAGCGTGACTGAGCAGCTCCAAAGGAAGAAGTAAAGCTAGCAGAGTCCCAGTTTTACGTGGAGTCAGGGCCACATGAAATCTGGGTACAAGGTGGAAAGTCTTTGGGTTACAAAGCCAAGCAGAACACGGACGCACATGGCTTGGGTGACACGGGGAAGGTGAGCTAACTAGCGATTGCGGCTCTGCAAAGCTTGTGCCCCTTGACTGAATCAGGGGGACTGTGAAGTGACTGCACAGAAGCATGCACTAGAGAGCACTGGACAGGAGGGGTGCCCTGGCGTGGGAGGTGGGATTGTTGGAGTGGCAGGGCAGGACTACACTGCAGTGTGGTAGGGGAGCACGCCAGAGCATGGGGGTGCAGAGTAGGTGCGCTGGGGAGCTGTGACTGGCGCATTGCAGCGAGGCACCGAGCTGCTCCCTGGAGTGACTGTTTAGCAGTGGGTACCACAAGCTGACAAGTGGAGGTTTCCCCCTGTCTCAGCTCTTTGCATTTGGGGATTTCCCCCTTCAAAGCCACCACCTCGCCACGTTGCTTTCTCACACTCCCCTCCTCAGCTCTGCTGGCGGCTGTTGCGTGTACTTTCCACAGAGCGCTGCGGGGATGCGTGGCGACAGCAGGAGGGTTTGGGCTCTAGCTGCCTGAGCAGAGGATGATGTGGGGCTGCCGTGAACGCCAGCTTAGCACCTTGCTTCCTCCCTGCCAGTCTGCCTGGTAACAGCCAAGCCTATAGCACACCCTCCAGCAGCAAGAGAAACTTTTTTTTTTTTAACCCCTTTAGGGTATTAAACACAGCGGAGCCACCACACTCTTCCCCTAAGGTCAGGGCCTGGGGAGCCTGGCATCTGCCCTGTGAGAGAGGGCCTTTCCTTCCCTCTTGTGCCAGCCCCTGGTGATCTGCTGAGTAATCCCTGTTCTTGGGAGGGGGTCCCCACAGCAGGTGATTCCACCAGGACAAGCCATGCCTGGCAGCGCAGCTGCCGACTCCAACTCCGCAGTCTCCAGGGCTTTAGCCTGGAGCTCAAAGCACTTTTATGCCTTCCCGCTCCCTGCAGGGTAGAACGTATCCCTGCCGGTCACAAGCATGGCTCAGCGTGCTTGCGGGGAGTGAGTAATCAAACCTAGGCGTCCTGATGATTTTGCATCGTGTCCTCTTGCAGCCAGGAGCAGCAGCGGGAGGATTGCTCCTCTCCCCGCACGGAAGGAACTGCCCTTTGCTGTCTGGAGCAGGGGTTACATCGGGCCCATTCTGACAGCTGCTCTACCTGCCCCCTTTGTTTGCCTGCTGTTTCGCCACCTCGTGGGGGACTGAGATAGATCAACCCCAACTTCCTTTAGTTCAAGGCGGTGTGAAAGCCTCTGAGCAGCTGTGAGCAAAGAGAGAACTAGACAAGGAGCTGGCTTAGCAGGCGAGGGCACAGACTCTAAGCCTCCTGTGTTGCTGGGGGGACAATTGCCATAAAGGCCATTGCCCTGGAAGGACTAAGGCCTCCACTGACTTCAAGGCCTCAGCTTTGCTTGCATGGGGACTGGACCCTGAACTGCAGGGCTCAGAGGAGGTAGGCTGAGCAGCCGGAGGACAATGGCTCCACCACTCTTAAAGCTCCAGGTTGTGGCTGTCTCCAGTAGAACGGGTGGGCGTGGAAAGGGCGGCCAGCCTCACACCTGCATAGGTGCCAATCTCACCCTGGCTGATCTTCTGGATCAACTGAGTAGGGGACAGGCCCCAGGAGAGCTCCTCTTACCACCTCTTCAAATAACCAGTCCCCTTCCCTTGTTCAGACCTAGGAGCGAGTTCAACTGCTGTTAATTATTTCCAGTGCAGGACCACCCAGAGACTCCCATTGCAGATCAGGCCAGGGCCTCAATGTGCTAGGTGCTGTATGGAGCCAGACAAAGGCAGTCGCCAAGCCCAAACTTCCTGTCTCCTTCCACGTCCTCTCAGCTGCCTCCGGCAGTAAAAGAGAATAGGTCCCTCCTCTAAAGGAGAAACAGTGGCTCAGGAGCCAATTGAAATCAATGAGAATTTCGGCGGGGGGGGGTGGCAGTGTTCAGTGCACATCACAATTGAGCCCTGAATGGCTGGGTCAGATCAGTTAAGGGCCTCGTCTTTAGCCTTGGAGTGAGTCCCACGGTCTGCCCCTGCATGGGTGGCAGGGAGGGAAGTAACTTCCAATTGGAGAGAGGAAAAGTTCAAACAGGCTTTCTGGGCTCTCCTGCATCAGCGCACCTACTCGAAGGGACATGGTTAGTGCTTACGTGGGGTGGTGATCCAAGGACACGGTGAGATAATCGCTCCCCCTTTATTACGCGCTGTGTGGCCAAGTGACGTCCCCAAGGTTGCACCTAGAGACAGTACCCAGGAGTCCTGGCTCTGTCACCTCCTGTCTGTGGCTTCTTCCCAGCTGCCTCCTCACCAATGTGCAGAGCTGCTACCAACACCCAGCTTTGCTTTTGGCTTCCCTTTCTGTCCCCCATCCCTCCTGGCTTGCGGGCGACTATCAATCACTTACTCCGAGAGCGTTCCTTTCAATGTGCAGCTGGGTAATTACAGAGTAGCTGCCTTCCCCTGTGACCGTTCCTGCTAAACGCAACGGAGCGGATTGATGGGAGCTGTGCAAATTGTTCAGTCATCTCCATGCTAGTGAGTGGCTGTCCTGAGGGAGCCAGCTCTCTGCAAACAAACCCACTGCTCCATCCGTCTCCCCTGGAGCTAAACCCCCGTCGAATGCATTACTCTTCCCTTGCCTACAGACGCAGCCTGGTGCCGACTGCACCTCAGGCGGGGGAATGACTGATTTTGCTCACCGAACAGAAACATCTCCAGCTGCCAACCCAGACACCAATCCTTCCGCAGGGCATCGCCCGCCAGCAACCAAGATGTATGCGGGAGAGCGCAATCTCGTTCCCTGCTGCGCAGGGGAACCCGGGGCTGCCTTTCAAATTTATCCTCAGTGAAACGAGGGACAAGTTACAGAAGACAGAAGGCAGGCTCAGTGCATCGAGAGGAAGGGAAGAGTTCTTCAGCATGCATTAAGGGGACAGCGGTGCTGGCGGAGCAGGGACTGGAGTAGATTGCACGTGCCCTCAGTGACTGCCCCCGAATGCACCACCTCTTCCAGGAGGAGGAAGGAGCTGGCTCCCTGCCACCTGACTGTCCCTTTAAAGTAGCTGCAACTGAATCTTTTCAATTCCACCAGACACTAGAGCACGCTCTGAATGTCCCCGGGAAAGGTTTTATTCTCAGACACAGGAGCAGCCCAGAGCTCTTTCACCCTCCCAGAGACACCTGTTGGTGTCAGGCCAGTAAGGACATCTTCTGATCTGAGGCAGCTTCCACCACTGCAGAGTTTAACTCCCAGGGAAGGTCCAGGTGAAGAGCACAGCCTGCATCCGCCCCCTGGGCTACGGGGAAGGAGTCTAGGGGGATCCCAGTGACTGACACACGCTCGCTTGTTCCAGCCAAAGATCTAGCTCGCCAGCTGAGCCCCTCATCCTCGTCCAGTGAAGAAGGCAGCCATGGGACAGCATCCCCAGCAAGCCATGAGCAATAAGGCAAGTTCTGGGCTGCCTTCTCCCTGACAGAAAGAGTCCCCAGCTCCCTGCAGTCCCCACCTCTCTCCCCCAGCCTCACTCCATCGCCACCGGCTGCAGCCCTTCCACGTCCCGAGATTTGGAGTTCACCAGCTCCCTCCTGATCTCGGCCGAGATCTGCGGGTGGCAGTGGAACTTGAGAAGCTCCAGCAGGGATTCCTTCTGCTCCGAGGAGAGGTCCTCCTTGTAGCGCTGGGCGAAGGTCAGGAGGCACTGGTGCCACAGCACGGGCAAGGTGCGCCGGTCCGTCTGGAAGGCCAGGAAGTGAAAGACCAGGGCGTCTACCACGCGGAAGGGCAGGGCGTATTTCTTGTCGATAAGCAGGCGCAGGAAGATGCTGTTGGCACCGCTGTACTCCATCTCGGCGAGCTTCAGCATGGCAGCACTGGGGGGGGGGAGAAGCAAGGTTGAAGTGTGCACATGGGGGGGGGGGGGGAAAAGGGACTTGGGGCAGGTGCTTGTCGGTCACACTCGCACCCGCGACTGGGTCTGGGCACCTTCCAACACTAAGAAGCACCTTGCCCCTGTAGCATCTTCAAGAGGACAGGCTTTGCCAAGGCCTCCCCTTCTCCCAGTTCAGAGCACGTTTATTTCTGGAGTCTGTGACCATCGCTCTTCCCCCTGGCAGCCTTTAAACTTCCCCACCGCCTCTATTCTAGGGCCAGGGATTGAAGGCTGGCACGCCCATGGCACATCAGCTACCAGAGCGGGCCGCACCCTCCTCCCACCCGTCCCTGCAGGCGTAAATGCGTTCCCAGAGCCGGAGGGACGTCAAGTCCCCACCCAAAGACGGATCTCTGGCATCTGGCCATCTTGCTATGTGCCCAGGCATGACCCGAGCGCTCTCCCCGCTTCGCTACCCTGGAGAGGCAGAATCAAGAGTGGCAGTAAGGGTCTGGTCCCGCATGGCACCAAATCCCCTCTTCTGCCACTGGAACAGGTGGGATAACCCAGCAGGGACACGGCCTCTGGGCTATTCCTGTGCTGCTGAGCTAGGAAACTCTCAGCTACCAGCAACGTGGAGCTGTGGCTGAACTAGTATCTCTTGGCCCAGAAGCTTGCCAAGGGGGAGAGCCATTAGAATGGGAACAGTCTGCCCAGGGAAGTGACGGAAGCCCATTGTTTGGGACTGGACACAGCTCTGGATGCGCTGGACGGACCAGCCTTGGGCTGGAGTAGGTGGGACCTCCTAGATCTTTCCTAGCTCTGTGAAATGCCAGAGAGGTTTTCTGGCAGAGCCATGACATTGCTGTGGGACTCCCTGAGGAGAGAACTACTGCCTCCCAATCCTCCCCCTGGGGCCCCAGTCCTCTCCACGTTACCTGGAGTGAAGGACGGGGATCGAGCACTTAGCAAGAATGCTCCCTATGATGATGGCTTCCCGTAGTGTGCAGGTCCCCGACTCACACAGGGGGATCAGGATCCCTGGAAGGGAGGGAGGAGGAAGAGTTGGACAACAGTGCTCTTAACACAAGATGGCTGGACCTGCGGGGCTCAGAGCCTGAAGCCTACCCCAGCTGACTGACCCCTGCCCCGTGCATTCCAGTCTCCGTGCACGTCCAGCCTGAGAGAATGAACTCTCCAGAGGGGCATCGATGCCGCATCCCTGGGAACCCACTCCTAACCCAGGCGCAGAATGTTGCGGGAGGCACAGGATGGGCTGCACTCTCTCTTTGTCCCTGCCAACCTCATCAATGGACAGTACAAATGGACACAGGGGATCAACTCCCAACGATGGGTTGCCCTGCCACAAATGGATCTCGCCCATCTCTGACAGGTAACGAAGGGGGCTGTCTCTTTTTGGCAACACTTATACAGCTGATGGTGCCAATATCAGTGAACTGAATATTCTGATCTAGCCACTGCTGGTTCAACAGGCTGCTTGTCCGCAGCTGAAGAACCAAGCAGGTTTCTGCACCTCGCTTGCTTTTGCTCTCATGGTTTCAGCATCCCTCCCTATCTTTGGTGCTGCTGTTCAACTCTGGAGAGCGTTTAGGGGGTGCTGCGTACACAAAAGAAGTTCACTGTGCAAAATAAAAGGTTAAAGGTGCCGCTGCTGGAAGGCTAAAGAAAACAAGTAACTGAGTCCTCCACCGCCCTCCTCCCAGAAAACAACTCCTAACATAGCTGTGACACAAGGAATGCTTACACAACCCAGCCTGCCCCTTTCCTGCTAGGTCACTGCACTGCAAGCCAGACTCGCCCTCCTCTTACTGCCACCTGGTTTCTTTTCACCTTTGAACCAGGCTCCTGGCTTGAACAAAGCCTTCTTCAAAGCCATGTAGAGGTGGAAATTGAGGCGCTTGTACTCGGCGATGTCATCCCTCACTCGCGGGAGCAGCACCAAGTTATAGAAGCGCTGGGCCATTCTCTCCTTCAGGTTGGAGGAAAAGATCCTGGCAGGAACGAGGGAATGGGAAATTGAACTAAAATCTCAGCCCCCATCCCAGCAGCACCAATGAAGTCAAGCAGGAAGCAGTGTCTAATACTCCCACCTGAGGATCTCCCTTTCCCATTGCGCACATCCTACTTTGCTGGTGGTGGGTTTGTTACCCCATGTTTGAAGCTTCTGTAGGAAAAGCCCAACAAGCGTTTCAGTGTGTGCATGCTTTCTGCTGAAATCCAGGCTGGGTTGGGGTGGCCTAATAGAGGATGAGGAGTCAGGACTCCTGGGTTCTGCCACTGACTCGCGTGGTGAACTGATCCTCTGTGCCCATTTAGAGCAGGAACAATACGCCCTACCCTCCCAAGAGGGGGAAGACCCTGAGGCTCAGCTAAGGGCTTTGGAGAGCTAGGGTAAGAAGTGCTTAGAAGTGTATGACACTCTGCGTTACCTGCTGGGCTTAGTAGCAGAGTCCAGGGGAATCAATGAAGTGACTAAACAGCTTCTTTTTAAAGACTGGTACTCCAGCTCCTCAATTAGACTCCAGCTACAGCTTCAGAGACTACAGTCCTGTACTGCCTTGCCTGACTGTGCACCTCCTCCGTGTCAGAGCCCAGAGTAAAACAACCAGTGTTACGTAACATTTTATAGTTTGTGATCTGAACCTGTAATATCGAAATCGGACACGCTTCCAGCTTCAAGTGTCACACACTGCAGTTCTCACCCTGGCTGCAGGCAGGACGAGCGCCAAGTTAAAGGGCAGGTTACTTAGGAGTGGTTACAGCTATGGAGAACACACTGACGGGAACAACCGTGCCCTGGATCAGGATGGAGTCAATCTCCTCTCCCTCTAACAGTGCCAGATCCACAGCACTAGCACGGGTTTCCTGAGGTGGCAAGCGGCTTGCTTCCTCAGTCCTTCGGCTAAGCTGAAAGCCAGAGGTTGGTTAGGATTTCAGTGACATGGCGGGTGTTCGTGGAAAGCCCACAGTAAAACCCACAATCAGTAAAACCCCGGCGATTCTCTCATACCTGGTTGCTTGATACATGGCAGCTGCAGTCCATGTTTCTGGCTCTGTGATGTAAAGGATCTGCTCCCAATTTGACAGTGCTGGGATGATTTTAAATGCCTTGGGGAGTTTGCCACTCCTGTATTTGGACAGCACCTTTAAAACAAAAAGTATGTGGAATGTGGCCTAGTGGTCAGAACAGGGACCTGAGAGCCAGGACTGCGGAGTACCGTTACTAACTCAATGTGTGACTAACAGGGACAGCTGCCTCCTCATGGCTGGAAGTCACTCTTCGGCACCCTGCCTCTGTTCCCCTCTTCAAGGCCCCTTAACACCTCACTCAATCCAAAGCGAACTGAAACATTGGCCTTCTGTGGTCCAATTTATCCCAGGCCCCAGTTCAGTGTCTCTCCCCTTAGGTAGGAAATACCCAGCCATTTTTCCTAGAGCTGGGTCCCAATTCAAAGCCTCTCTCTCGTCAAGCAGGAATTTGGCCTTCTAGACCCCAATCCCCATTCAGTGTCTCTTCCCCTTAGTTAGAAAGTCCCCATCCCTCCTTCCCGGTGCTGGGTTCTAATTCAACAGTCACTCCCAGGTTTACCTGGCTACAGTTCAGCCTTCTAGTTCTCACTTCTCAACTCCCCTGGTGTCAGGGTCTTCTCTGCAGGAGCCTCTCTCCTTTATTGTAGTTTCCTAATTTCCCCCCTTCTCTGCATCCTCCTTGAATGAAAGATGCAGTGTAAACAGCAGTTATATTATTTGGAAGCCTGCAGAGAAGGAGTCTATTCCTAGTGAACACTAACTAATCATACTGAAATTCCCCTCCATTCACAGCCTCACATGCTTCTCAGGGCTCCTGGACGTAAGAGAATTTTAAAGTCAGCTCTCGAATGCACTCACTCACCGCCAGCTGAGCAGTAAGAAGTCTCTCAACATAAGAGTATAATTAACAGCCCCACGGTTTTTTTTGCCTGTTGCGGATATAACGATAGGATGGAAACCTCCGACCCTGCAGAGTTTGCAATCTCCTTAATTACCCTGAAGTGCTACACAGCACTGCTGTACAGTGACAGCTGTCATGTGCTGCCCCAGAGATGGCTGCACGTCAGCAGTGGGAGACGATATTTTTCAGCACAAGCCATGAGGATAAAGACACAAGCCACAATGCTTACGAATACTGGCTGCTGGAGCAGCTGGGCTCAATTCGACCTAGCTCCTCACAGAGGGACAGCGTTTTGAAGGTGGATGCTGCTATATAAATACTATTGCTCTTACTTCTCGGACACCCTTGTAGACCTCCAGTACGCGGGGGTCCAGCTGAGGCATGGGGTGGCCCGATATTTCCGACATCATTGTCTCCACCTCTGTCTGCTTCTCCGTGATCTTCTCCATGATGATATCGGCTAGCGTGAGCCTGGCAGACACAGGGGAAGGAAACTATGTAGAGCTTGTATCTCGCATAGAAGAGCATCAGCGTGTTCCTTGGCAAACCAGGTAGCAGGGCCTAGGGGACTGAGCCCTGCAATAGGAATCAGAGGACTTGAAGACCGCTCTGCCAGTGGCCTGCTTGGTGACACTTCTCCTTGTGCCTCTGTTTCCGCCCCTATCCTTTATCTCTCGTCTATGTAGGGTGTTTATCTCTTTGGGGTAGAGACTGTCTTACTGACTGTGGGTACAGCGCCAAGCACAAAGGGAACCCTGATCTCAGCTGGGCCTCTCTCTAGGCGTTACAGTAATAGGAGTTACTACGGTGCATGTGTCATTTTAGAGGAAATGAAGCATTATCTACTGCTTGGATCACAGGGGGTCAGGACTCCTGGGTTCTATTCCTAGTTCTGCCTCAGACTTGCCTCATGAGCTTGAGCAAGACAATTCTCCCCTATGCTTCAATCTCTCCAGCTATAGAAGAATGACAGAGCTTTAACCAAACCCACCTCCCAGAGATCAGTTAACCTCTTCGAAGTGCTGTTCTGAACTTTAACGCTATTTGAATGCTGTGTGGCTGCAGGAGGCGCTGCCCACAGTACAGAAACACTTATATCCCATGGCTCAGGGGTTTGTTTCTTACCTTAGCGGCGGATTCTTGTTCATGAACATTTCAATGGCTCTCTCATCCTCAGGGTCCACCGTCACCTCCTCACAGTACTCCCCCTTTCCCATGGATGCAGCAGCCTTCTCCAGTGTGGGCCACTCATCATCCTCTGCGTCAGAGTCCCTGTCGTGTGATCCAGACCCTGAAATAAACCAGACACAGTTAAGGTTGGACAAGTCAGGGGGCAGAGCAACTTGCCTGCAAAGATACAGCTGAACAAGTGCATTCCACTCAGCTCTCCACACTCTGATCTCCAACTCTCTCATGTGGCTAGTGAGGTGAATTTGCAGAAGCCCTTTTCTAACAGTAGTCAAACACCCACTATGGGAAGGGGCACCAGAGACTTCCCGGGGCAGTCCATTTGAAGGGACAGTCAGAATTTCCATCCAAGCCCAAGAATTGCTTATCCTCTGCCAATTGCCTAATTAACTACCAGGATCAACCAATAAGGTTGGAGAACAGCCGTGCAATTAAAAATTATTCCGCTAACTTGAAGCTTCATCAACTAAAGAGTTAAAAGCAGTTTCAGGTCCTACACATGTGCCTACGTCTCTCCTGCTCGTTTTTGTGGGATTCTAACCATGGCTTTTTTTTTATTATTATTATTATTTTTCTCTCTCCTGTTGTCGTAGGAAGAAATCACACAAGCCCAGAGAAAGCTGACTTGAGGCCCTGATCCTGCAAACACATACTGAACTTTATACTCACGCTTTAATGCAACTACTCGCATGTGTAAGTATTTGCAGGGTCACAGACTAAGGCTCACATTGTAAAAGGTATTAAGGTGCCCAACTCCACTACCTCTAAAAAGCTGGCCCTAAGTGACCATTAAACGGACTCAACACTATGTGCTGTCAAATGTACCGTAAAAAACAATATATGATTTGGGACAGGAAATGAGGAAGAACCTCGTACCCTAGGGAAAGGATGGTCTATTGAATAGACCACTGGACTAAAACTCAAGAAACCTGGGTTCAGTTCCTGAGTCAGCCACGGATTTCTTGTGTGACTTCGGGCACGTCCCTAGAGCTCTCTGAGCAGCTGTTGAATGGGAACGATACTTCCCTTTGTCTGAGAGGTGCTGACAGGATCAGATCCCTTCGTGATTGTGAGATGTCAGATACTATAGCGATGAGGGCTGTTTAAGTATACAGACAGGTGGATAAAAGTGGAGGAGGAGAAACACAGGGAGACAAAATGCCTTCCCGTGACACAACTCAGCCGAGGCACCCAGGTGAACACACCTATAACTTGTGCTGCACCATCAGGAGCCAGAACGCGGTTTTACATCTCATCTGAAAGGCACCAGCCAAGGCAGCACAATGCCCCCTTCCACTATGCGGGGACTTTTGTTGCAAACTGATTTATGGTGAGCACTGCCACCTACTGAACTGCCAACACCACTTCCTGAAGCCTTCTGGGACGTCCTTGGGAAAAGTGGGAAAGACCTTAACACAATACCATAGCATATCTACCCAGGCCTATCTTTTAATACTCGGACTCTCAGGGACTGGGAGGGTGGAGAGAGAAATCCCATGAGCATTTAGCAGGGGGTTCTTCTCTTCCCCATCAAACCTGCTATATCAAAGGGAAACAGAGGGTGGGTGGGGGGTTGTCCCCACCCAGCCGAAACTGACAAGCAGAGATCAGGCTCGTTAATAAGTGACAGAGCCCACCCGTGTGCTCGCTTTGCTGGTGTGCTTAAAGTTGGCTCTGCGCTTCAATAAGGAGCAGCGTTCACCCCAAGCAACGGCTAGAAAACCAGCCCAGCTCACCCCACCCACTCCCAGCCCCACCCCTCTTACGTGCTCAGTCCCCGGGTCTGTCCCCACTCACCCAGCACCGTGGTCTTCTCCTTCTTCGGTTCGGTTCCTTTGCCAGGACAGTGCTCGGCCTCCAGCTCCTCCTGCTGGATCCGAGCCTGCTCCAGGATCCTCCGGGACAGTTTCTCATCCACGTACTGGTCCTCCTGTTCCCCACCGCCATGCTGCCCGCCTCTGCCTCGCCTCTTCACCCGCGTGGTGGGCTTCACCGAGTCCCCTTGTATGATCTGCTCGGCCAGGGACACGTTCCTGGCCGCCTCCCCTGGGCCCCCGGTGCCCCTCCGCCGCTTGACCTTAGGCATGTTGATCCCCCAGCTCGCGCTCCCTGGCCTGCGAGAAAGCGCACGTGTGCGGCCTGTGTGTGCGTTGCGTACGCAAGGGAAGGGGGGGCGGCTGGAGAGGTGCCACCAAAGCGCATGCGCTCCTGGAACTTTGCGACTCCTTCCGTTCCAAAACTGGCAACAGCCTAATCAGCCCTGTCTCAAGGCTCGGCTCTTAAAGGTGCAGCCGTCCTATTTTACAGTGCCTTCTAGGAACCTCTCCTAAGGCAGAGTCTTTCATCCTACAGAGTCCTTCATCATTCAGAGCGAGTTCAGCTTTCAAAGCAGCAGAGAGAGAAGGTGGATTTACTGTATTGAGGCAAGGGCTGGACCCACCTATTAACTCCATTGAGATATATTAGGCTGGAAGAAATTGGTGGAGGGACAGGGGATATTGGTTACTTGTCTAACCTTTAGGGCCTTTCATTTTTGTTTTTTATTTTATTTATTCTCAGGAATTTTTGGTGTTTATTACTACAGCAACAAAAACAGGTGGAAATCAGTGGAAAAAAACAATAAATTTTCTGGGTAAATATCTGGGTTTATTTTGGTGGACGGAAGGACGGGGAAAAGATATTCAGTAGATAAATGCTTTGATGAATGGAATTCAATGTGGTTTGCTGCAGAACTAAAACAGAACTCAAAACACAATGCCACCTCTGAGTTTAAGAAAACAATAGCTCTCTAATCCCCAAATAAAACTTTTCATTTGAATAAACAGTTTACTGTTGTAGATTTAGAACTAGTAGCCTATAAATATTTACATTTAATACTGAGACCACACCATCCTTTTCTCCTCTTTTTATTAAAACTTTTGAATACTTGTGTTCTGAAACATATTCTAAGAGATTTTCTTTTTCTTAACATTTTAGTTTAAGGTGTGTCAGATCTTTAAACCTGCTAACAGCTTGAAATGTGTACTTGGTGGGACTGAGATTCATCAGTATGTTCAGATGTGCACGCACTTCAGAGCTTGCGTGCGTGCCTGTTTGTTTATTGTGTGTATCTTCTAGACCAGGGGTAGGCAACCTATGGCACGCGTGCCAAAGGCGGCACGCGAGTTGATTTTCAGTGGCACTCACACTGCCCAGGTCCTGGCCACCGGTCTGGGGGGGCTCTGCATTTTAATTTAATTTTAAATGAAGCTTCTTAAACATTTTAAAAACCTTATTTACTTTACATACAACAATAGTTCAGTTATATATTATAAACTTATGGAAAGAGACCTTCTAAAAATGTTAAAATATATGACTGGCACGCGAAACCTTAAATTACAGTGAATAAATGAAGACTCGGCACACCGCTTCTGAAAGGTTGCCGACCCCTGTTCTAGACTAATACATAGCCTTACTTCAACAGGCAGCTTTGCATATACACACAGACTAATGTATTATCACAACACATATATCTCATGCCATGTATTGTACTTCCTAATAAAACAACTTTTTAATATATATTTGACTGGTACACAGGTAGGGTGAAAATCAGAAAAAAATGAATAATACTTTTTGTAAAACCCAGGATTTATTCGGTAAATAAACGGTTTAAACTGAAAACGAAGGGGCTCAATAACTCTTTTAAAGCGCTGCCCCTCCTAAATGTTGCCTTCTTTATGATGAAGGAGTTTGCAATGTGTCAAGTATCAGGGGGTAGCCGTGTTAGTCTGTATCTACAAAAACAACAAGGAGTCTGGTGGCACCTTAAAGACTAACAGATTTATTTGGGAGTTTGCAATGTGTTTCCCTCAGGCCTTTGTCAATTTCCTCCTGAAACACTGGGGAGCACTGACACAAGAATTCTTTCCTCCTGTTCTTCTGTGTCCCCTGGTTCTGCAGTCCCGTGCCAAGCAGTCTCTACTCCCACTCTGAAACCTGACACAATCTTTGGTAACTGATCTGCGTCCAGGAGGCGGTAAGTAGCACCGTGACCTACAGAGAGGCAGGGGGCCTGGCCTGAGACTCGTATCCTCCCCTCTTGATGACATCATTTCCTGCTTGTTGCGTTTCACTGGGATAGTAGAGGACAGGGAGGGGCTGCTGGGCTAGCAAATCTGCTTCCTGCCCAGGAGAGAGAGACAGACAGACACACACACACATCTATATATAAGTCTCTGCTGCAAATATATTTGAAAGACTGCATAGTATCAGCTGAGCCTCCTTCTCCTCCATAGGGACCAGTGCAACCCTACGTGAAGACTTCAAGAAGCATGGGAGTCACCTGGTAGGACTTTCTATGTTGCGTGGTTAAAAAGCATGCCAGTGGTTGGGTCTTTATTTACTTGCAATGAATGTGACTGCACGATGGTTGTAGACTGGTGCCTGCCAGGAGCAGCTCTGCTACAGCAGGTTAGGTTCCATCATTGCGGGGGGGGCTCCTTGCACCGAGCCCTGAAAGGTTAGTTCCTTAGGAGGTGCTCTGTTGCAGGATGAGCTCACGGGTGCCTATTCAGACTGCATTGATTCTTGCTGGGAGTGTACTGTGGCAGCTTCTTCAGCCTGTGTTCCTCGTTGCTGTTCGAGCTGTTGGGGCTGCCTGACTGTTCGAGCTAGCGTCACCATGTTGCACCCGCTTGGTCATCGTCACATGAGGCCCGGTGGGGATAATGGGAGAAGGCACCCAGCAGAGAGGAACACGGGTGAGGCAGGATCCTTGTTCAGGAGGGTGTGGAGCATAAGAGCAGCCATACTGGATCAAACCAATAGTCCATCCAGCTCAGTATCCTGTCTTCCAACAGTGGCCAGTGCCAGGTGCCCCAGAGGGAATGAACAGAACAGGGAATCATCAAGTGATCCATCCCCTGTCGCCCATTCTCAGCTTCTGGCAAGCAGAGGCTAGGAACACTTCAGAGCATGGTTTTGCATCCCTGCCCATCCTGGCTAATAGCCATTGATGGACTTATTTTGTATCAACTTATCTAGTTCTTTTTTGAACCTGTTATAGTCTTGGTCTTCACAACATCCTCAGGCAAAGAGTTCCACAGGTTGACTGTGCGTTGTGTGAAGAGATGCTGCTGCTCAGGGACTGCAAAGAGGGAGCTGGGTTATGTTCGGTCAGGGATCTAGTTGGGCTTGTAATCGTAGAATCATAGAAGATTAGGGTTGGAAGAGACCTCAGGAGGTCATCTAGTCCAACCCCCTGCTCAAAGCAGGACCAACACCAACTAAATCATCCCAGCCAGGGCTTTGTCAAGCCAGGCCTTAAAAACCTCTAAGGATGGAGATTCCACCATCTCCCTAGGTAACCCATTCTAGTGCTTCACCACCCTCCTAGTGAAATAGTGTTTCCTAATATCCAACCTAGACCTCCCCCACTGCAACTTGAGATCATTGCTCCTTGTTCTGTCATCTGCCACCACTGAGAACAGCCGAGCTCCATCCTCTTTGGAACCCCCCTTCAGGTAGTTGAAGGCTGCTATCAGATCTCCCCTCACTCTTCTGCAGACTAAACAAGCCCAGTTCCCTGAGCCTCTCCCCGTAAGTCATGTGCCCCAGCCCCCTGATCATTTTCGTTGCCCTCCGCCGGACTCTCTCCAATTTGTCCACACCTTTCTGTAGTGGGGGGCCCAAAACTGGATGCAATACTCCGGATGTGGCCTCGCCAATGCCGAATAGAGGGGAATAATAACTTCCCTCTATCTGCTGGCAATGCTCCTACTAATGCAGCCCAGTATGCCATTAGCCTTCTTGGCAATAAGGGCACACTGCTGACTCATATCCAGCTTCTCGTCCACTGTAATCCCCCAGGTCCTTTTCTGCAGAACTGCCGCTTAGCCAGTCAGTCCCCAGCCTGTAGCAGTGCATGGGATTCTTCCGTCCTAAGTGCAAGACTCTGCACTTGTCGTTGTTGAACCTCATCAGATTTCTTTTGGTCCAATCTTCCAATTTGTCTAGGTCACTCTGGACCCTATCCCCACACTCCAGCATATCTACTTCTCCCTGCATCTTAGTGTCATCTGTGAACTTGCTGAGGGTACAATCCATCCCATCATCCAGATCATTAATAAAGATGTTGAACAAAACCAGCCCCAGGACTGACCCCTGGGGCACTCCGCTTGATACCGGCTGCCAACTAGACATTGAGCCGTTGATCACTACCCGTTGAGCCTGACAATCTAGCCAGCTTTCTATCCACCTTATAGTCCATTCATGCAATCCATACTTTTTTAACTTGCTGGCAAGAATACTGTGGGAGACTGTATCAGAAGCTTTGCTAAAGTCAAGATATATCACGTCCACTGCTTTCCTCGTATCCACAGAGCCAGTTATCTCATCATAGAAGGCAATCATGTTGGTCAGACATGACTTGCCCTTTGTGAATCCATGTTGACTGTTCCTGATCACCTTCCTCTCCTCCAAGTGCTTCAAAATGGATTCCTTGAGGACCTGCTCCATGATTTTTCCAGGGACTGAGGTGAGGCTGACCGGTCTGTAGTTCCCCGGGTTCTCCTTCTTCCCTTTTTTAAAGATGGGCACTATATTTGCCTTTTTCCAATTGTCCGGGACCTCCCCTGATCACCACGAGTTTTCAAAGATCATGGCCAATGGCTCTGCAATCACATCAGCCAACTCCCTCAGCACCCTCGGATGCATTAGATCTGGACCCATGGACTTGTGCATGTCCAGCTTTTCTAAATAGTCCTTAACCTGTTCTTTCACCACAGAGGGCTGCTCACCTCCTCCCCATACTGTATTGCCCAGGACAGCAGTCTGGGAGGTGACCTTGTTTGTGAAGACTGAGGCAAAAAAAGCATTGAGTACATCAGCTTTTTCCACATCATCTGTCACTAGGTTGCCTCCCCCATTCATTAAAGTCCCACACCTTCCCTGACCTTTTTCTTGTTGCTAACATACCTGTAGAAACCCTTCTGTTACCCTTCACATCCCTTGCTAGCTGCAACTCCAGTTGTGCCTTGGCCTTCCTGATTACACCCCTGCATGCTTGAGCAATATTTTTATACTCCTTCCTAGTCATCTGTCCAAGTTTCCACTTCTTGTAAGCTTCCTTTTTGTGTTTAAGCTCACTAAAGATTTCACTCTTCAGCCAAGCTGGTTGCCTGCCATATTTGCTATTCCTTCTGCACATCGGGGTGGTTTGTTCCTGCGCTCTCAGTAAGGCTTCTTTAAAATACAGCCAGCTTTACTGGACTCCTTTCCCTCTCATATTAGCCTTCCAGGGGATCCTGCCCATCAGTTCCCTAAGGCAGTCAAAGTCTGCTTTTCTGAAGTCCAGGGTCCGTATTTTGCTACTTTCCTTTCTTCCTTTTGTGAGGCTCGTGAACTCAACCATCCCATGGTCACTTCTGCCCAGGTTGCCACCCACTTCTACTTCCTCTACCAATTCTTCCCTGTTTGTAAGCAGCAGGTCAAGAGGAGAAAGGCCCCTGGTTGGGTCCTCCATTAGTTGCACCAAGAAGTTGTCCCCAACACTCTCCAAAAACTTCCTGGATTGTCTGTGTACTGCTGTATTGCTCCCCCAGCAGATGCCAGGGTGATTGCAGTCCCCCCATTAGAACCAGGGCCTGTGTTCTGGAAACTTCAGTTAACTGTTCAAAGAAAGCCTTGTCTACCTCATCCTCCTGGTCCGGTGGTCTATAACACACGCCCACCACAAAATCACCCTTTTTGCTCTCGCTTCTAAACTTAACCCAAAATCTCTCCACAGACTTTTCTCCAGTTTCATACTGGAGCTCTAAGCAATCATACAGTGCAACTCCTCCACCTTTCCCCCCTGCCTGTCCTTCCTGAACAGTTTATACCCATCCATGACAGTGCTCCAGTCATGTAAGCTACCCCACCAAGTCTCTGTTATTCCAATCACATCGTAGTTCCTTGATTGTGCCAGGACTTCCAATTCTTCCTGCTTGTTTCCCAGGCTTCTTGCGTTCGTGTACGGGCACCTAAGATAACTAGCCGATTGCCCTGCTTTCTCAGTATGAATCAGGAGCCCCCCCATTGCACCCTCCTCCTTGTGTTTCCTCCCGGTATCCCACTTACCTCAGGGCTTAGGTCACCGTCCCCCGGCAAACCTAGTTTAAAGCCCTCCTCACTAGGTGAGCAAGCCTGCCTGCGAAGATACTCTTCCCTCTCTTCGTTAGGCTTCAACAAGCTATGTCAATATTGCAGCTGGTAATATAACATAATGGGAAAATATTGCAATGGGCAATAAGGGTATGGAGGACATGTATTTAAAAACCGGAAATCAAGGCTTTATACTGCTCAAGAGGGAAATAGGAGAGCTCGAAGGACATCAAGAGCACGTTTGACCACAGGCTATCTGGAGTTACCAGTGTAACAGAGCAAAAACCTTGTGTAAAACCTTCTGTGTGATGCTTATTTTATATGTTTATAAGGTGACAAGGAAAATTTATCTCTACAGTGTCCCATCTGTCCTGGCACTTGGCCAGCACCCATTGCAGTGGTACTTAGTATGGTGCCAATGCCTGTTATGTTTGCTCTGCCTGCCTTAGGGTTTTCTTAAATGCCTGTCACAGCTGGATTGGGATGGCTGAATGGTCTAACAGGCCACATTCAAAGCTTTGTCTTATCCTTTCCTGGGTGTTCTAGCTTCCCTGTAGAGCTGTGGGTTCAAATCCTGCTCCTGACCCATCTCTTCAATGCAGGGGTGGGCAAACTACGGCCCGCGGGCTGCATCTGGCCTGCCAGCCATTTTAATCTGGCCCTTGAGCTCTCGCTGGGGAGTGGGGTCTGGGGCTTGCCCCACTCCAGCAAGGTATGGGGCCGCTCCACGCAGCTCCTGGAAGCAGCAGCATGGCCTGCCTCCGGCTCCTATGTGTAGGAGCTGCCAGGGGGCCCAGCTCTGCACGCTGCCCCGTCCCCAGGCACCGCCCCTGCAGCTTCCATTGGCCGCAGTTCCCGGCCATTATGGGGCCACGTGCAGCGCCGCCTGGCTGTGCCTCCATGTAGGAGCCGGAGAAGGAACATGCCACTGCTTGAGGTAAGCGCCGCCCGGAGCCTGCACCCCTGAGCCGCCACCCCTGCGCCCCTACCCCAGCCCTGATCCCCCTCCTGCCCTCCGAACCTCTTGATCCCAGCCCAGAGCACCTTCCTACACCCCAAACTCCTCATCCCCAGCCCCACCCTAGAGCCTGCACCCCCAACCAGAGCCCTCAGCCCCTCTCATACCCTAACCCCCATTTTGTGAGCATTCATGGCCCGCTGTACAGTTTCTATTCCCAGATGTGGCCCTCGGGCCAAAGAGTTGGCCCACCCCTGCTTTAATGGCTGGATGTCTTAGCTCAGTGCTATAGCTCAAAAAGAAGTGTATGGGTTTGATAGAAAAATTACTGGGTGAGGTTCCCTGCCCTGTGTTAGTCAAGAGGTCAGACGGGACTATCACAATGCTCTCTTCTGGCCTTTAAGTGAATGAGTCAAGTATGCAAGTGCTCTACAGATCAGATAACTATCATGTATGTTGGCTTTTAATCTCTATTCTAGACTTTATAAGTACATTGGCTGAAATTGATTCTGAGTTGGTTATCATATCTCTATGTATGCGATTACTGAATCTTTTCTTTTGCTTCCTTGTCTTCTATGACAGTGTGTCTCAGATGCCCGTGGCAGAGGGGAAGAGCGTCCAGCAAACAGTTGAAATCCTAACAAGGAAATTGGAGCTGCTGGGAGCAGAGAAACAAGGAACATTTTGTGTGGACTGTGAGACCTACCACACCGCTGCCTCCACCATGGGCAACCAAGGTCTGCATTTCACGTCCTTTCATGGAGTGATCAAAGCGCCCTGTGGCGATCGTTAAGGCTGATCGCTGGGGTTGGTATAACGCAATTCGAATAATGTTCAGGGAAGTAATTGTTCTCTTATTTTCTGACAAGGACATCTAATGCCAGCTCTGAGGTTGAGTCTCAATCCCACTAATGCTCCCCCACCCCCTTCTTTTCTCCAGTTATTCAGGGTGTCACTACTGCAATAACTTGGTGGTAGCTGTAGGGAAGAAGAGTAAAATAGGGACCAGATGCATGGATTCTGTTCTCAGAATCCATGCATTCTATTCTCCCTATGTTTAAAATGTACATAACAATACTGACCTACCTCACATGGGGTTGGATGGCTTGACTGCTGATAATAAAATGCTTGGTGATCTTTGGATGAAAGATGTTACATCAATAAAGATTATGATTCACTCCGCAAAAGCTTCATTAACACCGAGTTAAGACTGACCTGGGATGCCTCGTACCTTCTGAGTGCATCTGTACTTAAACTGCTGAAAACCAGGAAGTACAGAGTTACGGTACTCGCCAGTCCTGCAACCTTCATACTGCCCTCTTTGAGTGACGCCCCAAACCTGCTGTTACAGACAGTAATAATCTGTCCTTCCACTTGTCATTCTGCAAGGGTACAAGGAAATGCTGGTCAACCTTAACTATTAACAAGGATTTTAAGTAGGGAATTTCCCTTGTTCTTTGAGGAAGTGGTGGTACTGAGGGGGGCATGACTGGGGGGACAGTTTTCCTAGGGAGACCATAGAATGGTGTCATGACTCTTTTTAAGTGGGGCTGTATCTCAGGACACCCTTTCTTAAACAACTTCAAATTTAGCCCCCCAGCCCTACCCTGGTTCCTCATGATGCACGGCACTTTTTCAAGACAATCTGAGTGAGCATGTGGACTACAGAGTGCTTAAAAAAAGCGACTCAAGCAACTAGTCTCACCTTCAACTGTCATGGTGTTACAGCTTCGCTACAAAAACAACAAGGAGTCCGGTGGCACCTTAAAGACTAACTGATTTATTTGGGCATAAGCTTTCGCGGGTAAAAAACCCCACTTCTTCACTATAAGTGTCTCTAGAGGTCAGCAGTGAGCCTGTGCCACCGCGTTTCTGTCTGGTCTGGGAATGTGCATGGCTTCACTGTTGCCTATGCAGAGTGCTCTGTGAACACTAGGCTCTCTGGCTAAAGGTATTTCTTGCAACCTTGCGCTGCTGTTGGATTTTGCTGATCACTTCCAAGCTGTTTGCCTGTAAGAAATGTAACAGAAGTTTGATTTTTTTGTGATTTACACGGAGGGAAGTCTTGTCTGCAGGAATCTGCCAAAGGGCTAGTTCTTTATATAGGCAGCTGCACGGTATCATAGTTCTTGGTGCTAAAGCCCCATGTGAACCAGTTATAAAGCGTCCACTTTTCCTTGAATACCCAAAACAGCTTTCTGCTGATGGCGTGCCCCATTGGCTAATGAATCAACAGTGATCAAAAATATAGTTCTGGGTATTTTTCCTATGTAACATACTTAAAAAAGAACTTCCTTTCACAGCTAAGTAAAGGCTATGTGGTATGGCATTTCTGGCGTTAAGCTCTCATTAAGAGTCTAATTCTGGTTGTTGGGCTTGGTGTGTGGGTGGCTGGGTGGTGTGGTGGCCTGTGAAATACAGGCGGTCAGACAGGATGACTTGGTGGTCCCTTCTAGCCTTAAACTGTATGGCTCTATAATAGCAACAGCTGTGTGTGTAAATTCTCATTTGTCGGATCCCTAAATCTTCAGGATGTTTTTTTTTTTCCGGAAAGCATGATAGGCCCCAATCAGCAATTGGCCACACATGGACATACCCCTGCACCCAGATGGCCTTCAGTGAACTCCGCATGGGTGCAGGGATTCACATGCACAGAGTCACTCTCACATCTGTGTCTCAGTTCCTCTGGTGGTGCCTTCTTACTCTGGGCTGAGGTGGTAGTGATTTGCTGCTGGCTTGTGCTAGCACAAAGTATGATACCATACCACGTAATCTCCCCACTCCGCTGCACTGGTGAGTGAATGAGAGTTAAGACTAGACTCCACCTATCCGCCTGTACGCCTGCTCCAGGGATAGACAAGGACAGTAAGCAGGTGCCCAGACCCAGGATCTACATGGGCAAGGGGGATTCTTTATTTCCCCTAACGTCCCTTGCAGGGATGTACAATGCAAGTCACAATCTAGCCCTATGTTATTTATAATGCCTTCAAGCCCCATTGGAACCCCCTTTTGTGCACGAGGAATTACTCGTTGAGTTCACTGGGGCTGTTTGTATAACTGCTCTTTCGCAGTCTGGCCCTTAGATTGTTAAAGCAGAAAGAATATTAGAAATCTAATGTACTCATCCCTGTTCATGCTCTTTATTTACATTTTGCCCTTCTCTCATCTTGGGCAGTGTAAATCAAGGTCTCTTTTGTCTCTAGTCAGTTTCTGTCTCAGCGCCACAGGTTTTGAGTTGTGTGTACTGCAGGAGTGGAGCAGAGGTTATTTGTCTAAAAAATGTTTCCACTGGGATTTAAAAAAAAAAATAAAATTCCTATTTGTGTTCAGTTTTGTAGAAGTGTTGGAAGGATTCTTAGTTTTTCCCCAGTGCCTAAATTTTGGCCCAAACATGAGTTGACGGTGCCCCTCAGGAGTAAAGTTGCTGAGAATTCATCGTGGTGGGTCAGTGTTTGGATCCATTCATATGGAATGTTAAAGGAAATCTGGCTCCAAATATTGAATTTGTTCAAGTTGAGCTCTCTTTTTACAAAGAGTGGAGGGCATCCAGTATGTGCTCTCTTTATTAGACATTAAGTATCTTCAGTTCAGTAGACAGTTCCCACCTCCCTTCCCCAGTAAAATATCCCATTTCCCAAGCTGACATATGTATGTATGAGTGAGTGAATTGGTAAATGGAAACCCAGCAGTAAAGTTAGCAGTCAGATGGCTCTCTTGAGTAATTGGTGCAAAACATGTTTAGAAATTTGAGTTTGGGGCTCATACATCTCAGTGGGCACAGGAAATACAGAGATCAGGATGTGCTCTGGAATGGCAGAAACGTTAATGTACCTGCCTGAGGTTTTTTTGTTTTGTTTTTAGATCATAAAACAAACCCAAACACCCAGTGTCCAGAATCAGATTAAACATTCATGAGGAATACAGAAATCCTGAAATAGCGTTTCTTTTGTCCTTGTCTTTGTTGATTCTAACAGATGTTTCTTCTTGAAAGCACGCAATAGGGAAGAAGCATCATTTCTACAGTTAAAATACCGTTGCTCTTGTTCCAGGGCAGGCTGGCAAGCTGATGTACGTGATGCATAACTCTGAATATCCCCTCAGCTGTTTCGCTCTCTTTGAAAACGGCCCCTGCCTCATAGCAGATGCCAACTTTGATGTCCTGATGGTGAAACTGAAAGGCTTTTTCCAAAACGCCAAGGCAAACAAGATAGAGAGCCGGGGTACGCGGTACCAGTACTGTGACTTCTTGGTGAAGGTTGGCACTGTTACCATGGGGCCCAGTGCCCGGGGAATATCTGTGGAGGTAAGGCTGTTTGTTCCTTGAGGTGGCTAGTCTCATTGACTTCAGTGAAACATAGAATCACAGAATCGTAGGATCAGAAGGACCTTGTGCTCTTCCTGTCTAACAGTGAGAGTGTTGCGATTAGAGTCATGAGCATCAGTCCTAGCACACCAGCTGCCTAAAATATGGTCAAGTACTTTGTAGGCATCACGACAGAGGTGAGTTTGAAAGACGATGCCCTGGCTTTGCCGACTTTCAAGGGGAGATCTTCCAGTGTGTATGAGATGACATGGGGAAAAGTGCAAAGGTGTTGAGGGGAAAAATAAGACTAATGGGTAACAACAACTGGCATCATTAGCAGAGTAGAGGCATATGCTGAAGGTTCAGTAGTGTGTGAGAGGATAGGTGGGGCTGTGCTAAGCTAGGAAGCGCCTCTGAAAGTGAAGATGAGTAGTTTTGTTTTGGATGCAATGGAAAAGGGGAGCCAGATTTTTGTGTCTCTTTCTAAACACTTTTTTAAATCCTATTTTACAAATATTTGATTAATCATCTCATTGGACATCTTTAAACGTGCGTTTCAACATTCCTAGTCAATAGAACCAGAGCTCAAGTAATAGCATTATTATATTTCAGTAGAATAAACACAGTTGCCATAATGATAGCAGCAGTTCAATCCTTGAGGGGGCCACTTAGGGATCTGGGGCAAAAATCAGTACTTGGTCCTGCTAGTGAAGGCAGGGGGCTGGACTCAATGATCTTTCAAGGTCCCTTCCAGTTCTAGGAGATAGGATATCTTCATTAAATTTATTTATTTATTTAAATTTAATTTATTTATTTCTATTGATCTTGGGTTTAGCAGAAGCTTGTTTTATACCAAACTTGAGTTTGGAACCCAATTTGAGCTGCCTGTCTTGTACTTTGGAAAACTGGTTTAATTAAAAACATGTCTGATCTTAATCCTGCTTATAAACACCCTCACCCTCACCCCTGTCGAGTAAGGCAAGCTGGGTTTGGTGAATCCTGAGGTTCAGCAGCATGCATAAGAGGATATAATGATCAGATCCCCATTTGTGGTTCATCATTCTTGTCAGCTTGCAGGGATGGTTTTGCTTTTTCTTAAATAAGCAAATTTAACGCCTGTGACAGTGAAGAAGTTGGTAGCAGGTTCTGAGCACATTTCCACAGCTACCTGTCTGATTCTTCTTTACACACGCACACAATCTAACAATCCACCTCATTTCTGACACGCAACATCCTAGTTGTTCCAGACCCAAGTCCCTCCTGGGCAAAGTGGTATTTGAACCAAGGTCTGCAGAGGTGAAAGGCTAGTGCATTAACCTCCACTGTGCCTGGAGTACTTAGGTCACTTAATAATAATGATGCATCTGCAGTTTTCTGATAACTTTTTACTTCCCAGGTCCCCATTGCTTTTGTAAGTAAAATTCAGGTGAGTTCCTTGAATGTTTTCCAGGCTGCTGGCTCATTGTTTATCAAATAATGAAGGAGGGAAAAAATTAAACACCTCCTTTTAGTTTGCATATATGAGGAGGATTGTATATTCCTTTGTCTCCAAAGGATTGACGTGTTCTGTATCAGGGTTCAAAGTTAATTGTCTCCTGTGTGGTTACCGTCCCCTGCTCCGTGCTTCAGTGCTCCTGTTTCTGTTGCCAGGTGGAATACTGCCCATGTGTGGTAGCCAACGACTGCTGGAACCTGCTCATGGAGTTCATGCAAAGCTTCATGGGGAATCACACTCCTGGAAACCCATCCGTGTTTGGCAACAAGCACGACAACATCTACAGCCCAGGTGACACAATGGCTCAGTACATGGAACTGTTCAACAAGATCCGCAAACAGCAGCAGGTGCCTGTAGCTGGGATCAGATGAAGAAGACTCCAGGAGACTTTTTTTTTTCTTTTTAAAGTGACAATATCCTCTTTTTTCTGATTGTCCTCATGGATCAGGAATACCAGCCCTTTGCTCAGTAATGTCCTGAAGATGTCTTCCCCCTAAAGAAAAACATCATTCATCTCCATATAGCAGGGGTAGAATCAGTTTTTCCTACCTCCAAGCTTGGTCTCAAATATAGTGTGTGTTTCATCCCTTATTCAGTGGTTAGTCCATTGGCGCTGATGTGTCTCAATGCAACATCAGTGCTTGATTCTGGTGATAAATGTTCTTCTGCAGAAGGATAAAGTAGAAAATGCAGCTGTGTGCGCACACAGGCAGGGTTTTATTGTCCCTCATTTTCCTTAGTGGCAGGCTGGTGAATGTGGGTTTTGGGGATATTCATATGGAAGCATTTTGGTACCACTTTAATAATAATTAAAAAAAGGCTTATTTTCATATAAAGATGTGGAGTCTTTTTATCCAGCAAGAGGCGTGTGTGTGTGTGTGTGTGTGTGTGTGTTTTGTAACAAATTTCTTTAATTTTTCTCTGGTGCAGAAGTTATTTCTTAGTCACGTTTATCTTTGATTTTGTTGAGGGGCTTTACACCCTCGATGGAAAATAATTTCCTTTTGTGACCAAAAATCTCTCTCTCAATTCTTTGCTGTCCCCTTGTGGTTATGTTCTTAACTTGCCATCATCTTTGATAGCTGATGAGCGGGTTAAAACCTTCTGGCTCTCCAATGATACAAATGGAGTCTGGTCTTCCTGAAGGATTCTTCTCATCTGTTGAAACAAAGTATCTGCCACCCTATCTCATGGTTAGAAAGGGAACTGATAAAACTGATAGAGGTCTCTTTGCTTTAAATCTCTACTCACCTGCGAAGTCCCATTGATTTCAGTGGGACTATTAAGGTGAGTAAGGGTTTGCAAGCGGGAGACTGTAGATTTACTGCAGGGCTTGAATATCATACAGCAATGATTTACTTATCTGGATGGAAAGCTAGAGAAATTCCCTCCCTTTAAGCCATCTGTGCCCTTGGCTCTAAACACTGAGGAGCTGCCTGGCCGGGGAATGTAAATTTCCTCTCTCCTCTTTATATTTTTCTGTGGTTTTGTGTTGTTTGCTAAATAGATAGCAGCCTGGCTGTTTACCTTGGTTCTGCAGCTGCAAGACCTTTGTGTCGCTTCCCCTGAAACGCCTTCCCAAGGAACTTCACAAGTAAATAGCTGCTAGGCAAGGATCTTCTCTGCTTAATTTCAGAGTTCTGCATCTTTCAAATGAGCAGAACTATCCTGGCCCTGCAGCCACACCTCCTGCTGAACTCCCATTGAAGTCAGTGGGAGTTCCATGCCCAGAGGCTTTGCAGGGTTGTCAGTCCTTAACTCATGCCTTATGTCACATCAGTTTGAGCAAGTAACCTGAGGGACCAGTGCATGGCTTCCTTAAAAAACATGTTCTGCATCCCCAGCCCATAGACGGAACTTGCACTGCAGCCCTGTGTCTAAAAAGTAAACTGGGCAAAACAGAAGTCTTGGACCTAAATAAACCTGATCTTCCAGGCAAGCTGCAATCGGACAGGGTCTGGGGAAGAAGGTTGAAGAGATGTTTCTGGAGGATTGGAGAGAGACGAGCTGTTTTGTTGCTTTGATTTACTGGTTGACTGAGTTGATTAATTCATTATTTATATATGATGGTTTTGTTTGTTTGTTTTTTCCTGCTGAAGGGGGGCCATCATTTATGCCTGTAAGTGTAATTAATTGTTACAGCACCTAGAGCTTGTTGTATGGGCATTTTTTATTATTATTTAACTCTGAATACATTAAATAACATGGCAGTAGGTCTCATAAGCCCTGGTTAAATGATTTGCAACAACCAGTATTTAAATAAACTTGCAATTTGAACATATTGGAAGCCCGCGGAACTAGTTTGGGGTCCAGTCTTGCAACTCAAAGGCATGTTACTCACTAAATCCTGACTCTCACACTGACTTCTGGGGAGAGTCTTGTGAGTAAAGCTTTCAGAGTGTGGCCCTTAGCTCATTATTACTCTGTGTAATTAAGTGTGGCTAGGATCTTTAACCAAAAAATTCTGCTCTTTGGACAGATCATCTTCTCCATCCTGCTTTCTTTTTTTTTTTTTTTTAAGTGCTGTGGAATTGTGACTGGAAGATTAGGCACATCAAATGTTGCAAATGTCTCTCTTAATCCAAAAAAGGTTTTGGTATCTCAGATGCCTTTTGTAACCAAAGTCACATGTCTTTAAAGAGTATAATGTGTGTGCTGGATCTCATTGGTGTTTGTTCTCTTCTGAAGGCCGGTTACTGTTCTGCAGTCACAGCCCTGGACCCCTTGGGCTAAATTCTGTTCTCAATCACATCTGTACCACTCCAGTGACGTCAGTGGGGTTGCATGGGTGTGAGGATAGGATCTAGGCCCATTATCTCTTAGTAAAGGCATCCATTGATGTGACTGCCTTCTCTAAAGTAGGGGATTGACTGACTGCTTCATGCAAAAGGCATTTCTTTTGCTCTCTGGGACCCCTGTTTTGTTGGGCAAAATTATTATCCCTTCTCCCCTCCCACCAAGGCTATACTAGGGCCAGCTGACTTGGCTTCAAACAGCAGTAGTCTGCCTCTGACTGAGTGTTAAGTTTTTGGTCATGTCATGTTAACTTTATTGAGCCAACACAGTTGAAAATTGCACCATTTTTGCCTGTCAGTACAGGGCCTGGGAGGTTAGATTTCCCTGCGACTTTGCAGCATTTTCAGAGTGCACATACAATTTTGAGAGGGAGGCTCTCCTGTGCACCAACTTGGGGCTTGCCTCGGCTCCTCTGGAAGTCATTGAGAGTCTTTGCCACTGATTTCAAGGGGAGCAGGATTGGGCTCTACATAACAATGATCAGCTGCAGATTTCAGTGCTTTTTGAATGGAGATATGTATTATTATCCTGCTTTTACCACTGAGGAAACTGAAACATAAAGAGGTTAAATGACTTTACGTAGGGTCATACTGTAATTCAGTGGCAGAGACAGGAACAGAATCTGTCTCCTGACTCAATTGTGGCTTCAGGTAGGGAGCCAACAGCACACTGAGCCTATTCCTACTGATACAAAACTACTCAAGATAGTTAAATCCCAGGCAGACTGTGAAGAGCTACACAAGGATCTCTCAAAGCTGGGTGACTGCACAATAAAATGGCAGATGAAATTCAATGTGGATAAATGTAAAATAATGCACATTGGGAAATATAATCCCAATTATACATATAAAATGATGGGGTCTAAATTAGCTGTTACCACTCAAGAAAGAGATCTTGGCGTCATTGTAGATCGTTCTCTGAAAACATCCACTCAATGTGCAGCGGCAGTCAAAAAAGCAAACTGAATGTTGGGAATCCTTAAGAAAGGGATAGATAATAAAACACAAAATATCACATTGCCTCTATATAAATCCATGGTATGCCCACATCTGGAATACTGCATGCAGATGAGGTTGCCCCATCTCAAAAAAGATATATTGGAATTGGAAAAGGTTTAGAAAAGGGCAACAAAAATGATTAGGGGTATGGAATGGCTTCCGTATGAGGAGAGATTAACAAGTCTGGAACTTTTTAGCTTGGAAAAGAGACGACTAAGGGGGGATATGATAGAGGTCTACAAAATCATGACTGGTGTGGAGAAAGTAAATAAGGAAGTTTTATTTACTCCTCATAACACATGATCTAAGCATCACCAAATGCAATTAATCGGCAGCAGGCTTAAAACAAAAGGAAGTATTTCTTCACACAACTCACAGCCAACCTGTGGAACTCTGCCAGAGGATATTGTGAAGGCCAAGACACTAACAGAGTTCAAAAAAGAACTAGATACATTCATGGAGGACAGGTCTATCAATGGCTATTAGCCAGGATGGGCAGGGATGGTATCCCTAGCCTCTCTTTGCCAGAATCTGGGAATGGGCGACAGGGAATGGATCACTTGATGATTCCCTGTTCTGTTCATTCCCTCTGGGGCACCTGACATGGGCCACTGTCAGAAGACAAGATACTGAGATACTCTGAAACCTGAGCTAGATGGACCTTTGGTCTGACCCAGTATGGCCATTCTTATATTCTTACCACGTACCATTATTCTCCATACTTATACAGTGCCTGCATGTTGATGCGGCGCTTTACAAAGTGAGTAAGTATATAAAGGGCCAAAATAACCCTTGGTTTAACTTCTTTTGATGTTAAAGGAATTACACCAAGGCTGAATTTGGCTGCAGGAGTTCACAGTCTAAGGGTGCACTCTATGGGGAAAATCCAATTGAAGTCCAAGTACCAGGGTGGTTCTCTGTTTAGGACCAGGGCCTAAAATAGACCAGAGATGAGCCAAAGGTGATGGTATGAAGAAAGTTTGAAAGATTCCTGGAAGAAGTGAGTGTTAAGGGGAGATTTTAATGAGGAAAGGGAGGTTGTTAGTAGACAAAGAGGCTCAGTGCTCCTTGGCCGTTAATTTCCAAAGGCAATTTAGATGACCTCTCCTTCGGTTTTTGTGTGTGTTTGTGAAGTGCTCTCTGATTGTTTGGGATCCACAGTGCCAGGAGAGTCTGGATTTCTGTTGGAATGGTTCTGCCTTCTTCAAGGCTGAGGCTACCTAGGTAGGTGCTAATGATAGAAAATGCCCCTGTCTCACTCGCCACTGCACTGTACCACACAGCTCCCATGCCCCACGGCAGTGACCTGGGCAGCGGTGGTGGCCTGTGTGGTGTGGCAGCGGATTATGTGGCCCCATGGCAATGTTCCTGTGCAATGATGGGGCCAGATGTGATCCTGTAGCAGTGGCCCTGCCTGACATGGCCATGTCCCCATGCAATGGTGGTGCCTGCTGTGTCCCCGTGCAATCGGCACCACCTGAGCCGGCCCCGTGGCTGTGTCCCCGTGCAATGGTGGTGTGGGACGTGGCCCATGCATGGTGGCATGCCTGAGGTGGGCATGGCCCCAGCTTGGACCCTGTGCTGCTGCAGTGAGGGGGAGGGGAGCTCAGCTCCCTGCAGCCTGGGCCCCTCTGAGCGCGGGGGGGCGCCGCACAAGGCGCTCCTGCCCCTTTAAGAGTCTCTTTGTCTCTGAAACATCCTTATTTACCCTCGTGTGACTCAACCAAACTTCAGCCTGCGATTCACAAAGCCCGGCAACGTCACCGTCCCGGGGTGGGGCTATGGAGTCCCCGCCCCTCCACCCTTCTCCCCCTCCCATTCTGCAGCGCAATTGCCCTAAGCCACTGAAGAGCCTGCCCCCGGCCGGCTACGCAAGCGCCGTAAGCTAGTCCCGCGTTCGAAATCTCGAGCAACGCAAGCAACGTAAAGCCGCGGAGAATTCATCGGCAAAGCCTGCGCAATTCACGTACACTAGTAAAAAGTTCGCCGTCTGGGCAGCGTAAATGGCGTAAAATAAAGGAAAGTTTCCGCTGTGCTCGGTC